CACGTGTCTGCGTCCGTCCCCAAAGCTTTTCTGCAATGAGACCATAGCGGGACCTCACAGTAACAGCACCTCGGCGGCAGGAGCCGTTGGCAATGCACAGCAAGTACCTTTGATCCTGTTCCTCACCCGACATCATTCCTTTCTGATCAGTTCCCCTCTGAGCAGTGTCTTCATGGCGCCTGGATACTTTTTCTGGGTAAGAATCAGGTGTTGCTCCAGTTAGTTTTTGAAATGCACTTGTTGAACTTCCACAGCAGAATGGTATCTGCACACCTCTTTGCTAGGGTCTACCTAAAATGCCTTTCTGGAATAACGTGGGCTCTTACACAATTTCCATTTAACTCCCAGATTAATGCACAATTGAAATACAAAGGGTTATTTTCCTGTGCCAAAGGTTTGAACACCACATTGGCTCTGTACAGTTCTCATGGGTTTTGTGCTCATGATTTGTTCCTTTTTTACCAACTCTTGCTAGCCCATGAAAGCCAAAGATGTTTTTAGAAGCATCACTTGCATCCAGCTGTCTCCAGTGCCTCCTGGCTCTCCAGGAGAGCTCTCTAACTCCCAGGCTCACTCGCTGTGGGTTCAGTGCCTGCCCGTTCATAAAAAAGCTGTCCGGTTGCTCACATGCTCTAGCAGCTCCGCATCTCTTGTAACACCAGCAGTTCCCAACCGTACTGAAGCCCCCGCCCTCCCCCTTTTTTCCTTTTGCAGCTTAGGTTCTTGTTCAGGGCTTGAGTGAAAGAACAGAACTGCCATCAGCACTGTAAAACACAGGTGAGGGGAAAGGAGGGGGTAAGGATGCACAAACAAAGAGCGATACAGGGAAGAGGCAGAATTGCTTCAAAGGGTGGTTTGTTTTGGGGGTTTTTTCTTTGAGGGTAGTTCTCAAGTTGTTCAGTCTCTCTTCAGTCAGCAGTGAATCACCTTCATGAGACTGAATTGCTTCACCTGCTGAAGGTTTACTTCCATCCCCCAGTACTTGTGCAGGTTAGGCTGCATGGCCCACACCAGCAAATGAGGAGGGCTGCATTTATGTGCAGAGTATTAGGGCTTTACAGGTCCTCGATGCTGACTTCCAGGCCATTCTAATCAGTCCCTTACTTTCTCTGAAACACATTTATGAAGTTAATTGTCCGTGTGCTTATTTTCTGCACCATAATAATTCACAGGCAGATTTTAATTATACCAGCCATTATTACTTAGCCTTTCAGAGGGTCTTACTTTTATAATGAACATGTTATTTAGAGTTCTCTGAGAATTCAGCAGAAACACCCAACTATTCAAACTGCTGACGGCATTGCATTTTTAGACATTATCCAAGTTTTAATATTCATTGTATTATTTTGCATGTAGGTACCCATTATTACTGTTAGTTCAAACCCTGGCTCTGGAACTCCCCTGACACCGCACTAGCGAGGGGAGGTGAGGAGAGCTGTTTCGCTATCTAAATCTTCTCCATTCCTCAATTACTGACCCGTCAAGAAACACACTTGTCAGACCCATCGCTCTCTTCCAGCCACTTTTTTACTGGGTTCTTCCCACCCACTCCTGGCAGCAAACGAAAGGGTACCTTCCCCTCCGAGGGCAAGTCTTAGTTCCTGTCCTCTTTTAGCTCCAAGTATTTTGTTCTCATTACACAACGAATGGTTTGGTGCGAGCTTGCTTTGTAAGGAGCCATTGATACTGGCCACACGAATGGCATTTTGTGCTAACCACCAGTGACACCTGTGCCGTTTTAGGCAGAGACGACACGCTTCCGAGGTCCCTCGAAATGCTTCTACCTTCAGATACTGGTTACAACTCCTCATCAGGGGAGGTTTTTTTTTTTTTTCAACTAGGCAGTCAAGTGTGAACCTCGTAGGGCACCGACCTCCTCACTCGATGACAGCTGGAGACTGGCGTTGGATCAAGAGACTTCATGTAAGCGAGAAGCCCCGGGAGGCAGCTGTTCGTGGAACACGGCGAGGAAACTGCTGCTTCACATGGGCAACGCAGTGGGTCACAGCCCAAAGAAAAACCCATGTTTGTCTTTTCCTGAGGGTTTGGGCAGGCCAAACCTTTTGAGACAGAAGATTTATCCAGCAAGTTTTAACGAAATATGCAAGTTCTGCTTCAGAATGCTAAGGGATACTTCAGCTTCCAAAGTATTTCTAATAATGCAGTGCTATTCTTTTAGTTTTCGTTTTCATTCTCACTGGCAATGGTGACCGACAAGAGAACTGTATCTGTGGCACAAGGGAGCAAGGCAGGGGGAGTATCGCTACAACCTTTACTGCCGAGGCTTGCTGAAATAAAATTTACATTAGGAAATTCAGAAAGCTTTTTGAAAATACGTACAGTGTATCTGCGATGGAAACAGAACATCCTTTGCTGCATGCACCTTCTCTGCACCGCACGGAGAGCAGCAGGTGAGCTGATAAAAGCAGCATTTTACTTTTTGCCATTGCAGCAGGTACTACAGCCAGTCGCGTACGGCTTACGTTATAGTTTACTTCCATTCGTGGTTCTGGATCTCTTTGGGTTTTGGGGTGCCTGGAATACAACTATGAACATACACGCACTCACAGCCCGTCAACAGCAGGAACCTGCTCTGAGAAACACCTTCCGGCTTAGTAAGTTTTCAGAAACCAGTTGTCACGTTTGGACTCAAGCAGACACAGGCAAGCTGAAGTGGAATTTTACTTGGTGAAAACACAGTAACAGGCCGTTTGTCACTAACCCCCTGGACTGCTGGTGGCAGTGGTCCGACAGTGAGTAATTCTTTCTTTCTTATCCTTTTACTGTGCCTCATTCTGCAAAATAAACTTTCTCCGCTCATAGCCAGTCCCAGAGAATGGATTCCCACGGCCAGGCTGAAGGGGGGAGGGCATAGCTGCGCCATGTGTTAGCTCAGAAACAGCGACAGGGAACACCTCGCCTGTAGCTGCCTTGCTCCAGGCCTGGGGCTTTGGGGACGTCCAGCCCCCGGGCTCGCAGCCTGCAGCTCCAAAGGTGTGGGCAGGCAACACCAGCAGCACCCCGGTCTTCCTTCCCTCTCCCCCGTACACGTTGCACGCACAGACCCAGACTAATTCAAACTCCTCCTTAAACTAGAAGTGAACAAAAATTAAGGTTTTCCATGTAACTTGGTCCTCCTGCGTGCAGTCCTGCTCAGGGCAGCGCTCTGCAGGGTGACACACGGCACGATGTGGGCTCACGTTTGCCCAGGGATCTTACCAGCTGCATGTCCTGGTCTCTAACAGCACTTCACCTTAGCAGCAAGTGCAGAAGAGTGTGCAACGGAAGGAAGCAATGCAGAAGTTCAATGAATTCCCTTTGACACTTAAAGTGGAAAACATGTTTATTAACATTCTTTCAAGCTTTCCTTACTCAAGGCCATATAAAAAAAATCTCTGCATTTTGATTATACGTATGTTTTTACTTTCTACATAGTTACAGAGGTATTATATAGCATTTGCTTTTTTCCTCATACACTGGTAAGTACTGAGTTCTGTTTAACAGTTGTAAGCACTTGTTTTCAAATCGGGTATTTGAAAAGAACAATTTTTCTATGTACATAGTTTAGCAGACTAATGCAGCATTGAATGCTCTTTAGTAAGAGGTATATGAGTTGAGGATCAATAGAACACTTACCTAAAATTATTCTTGTATGTGGAACAAAACCTCCGTTTTGGTCACTGCCCCCCTCCTCCCCCAGCTCCTGCACCGGCGCTGGACACCGGACTAAGTCGCGGTGGCGAGCAGGGACAGTTCACGTGCTCGTGGCGGACCTCACCTTGCGAGCTGCTCAAGCGGAGCACAGATTCCAAGTCTCCTAATCCTGGGAACTGCTCGATGGCACTGCTTAAACTCAGCTACTGCAGCAAACTCACTCCAAAGGAGTACTTGCGGTCACTGCTCTGATACACCAGCGGAGTTTCTTCTGCTTTGTTTTGATACGCCAGCATATGGAACATTGATCTGTTCAACATTTCTCTTTCTGGTGACGGTTTTTAGGAAAACTCTATACAAACATGCAAGTACAGTTGCTGTTGGGCTTAAGGGGTAGCACATACCATACATGTAATAAATATTGCTATCAGTATGACCCCGTTGTCGCTACAAAATGGAGAAGAAATTACTTCCAGATAAATCCCATTTCAACAAGATACATTTAGAGTCTGTGTGATATTTCTATCGATAGAAACTATTAACATTATTCATTAGCATTGTGAAGTCCAGTTAAAGTGTTCATTTCGAGAAGACAGAACGTGACTGAATACCTGAATCAAAAATAAATCTATCTGTAATGATTTAACCATAGTACTACTACATGAACTGCTGCTCCTACTGAAGAAACCAAATGGATTACAGATTAAAATATATTCCCTACGTAACGGGTTGTAAAGTATAGCCTTAAGGACTCTTTTGTTCGTACACTACTTGTCATTAGTAGTCTCAAACAGTATTTGCCACTCTGTACTCCCTTTCGTCGTTGGGCTGTAGCTGCACCACTACACTTTCTTCATTCACTCCGTTTTCTGCATCACTGCTATCGATATTGTCATTGTCATCTTCCTCATACTCTGAGGACTCGGTCATGTTCTGGTGGGAATGAGATTCTGACAAAGCCCCGAACGACTGGGTGCTAACTGAGGCTAACGGCCTAAGCAAGGGAGTGTTTTCAGACACTTCGTTCTCCTCCTGGCTGCTGTCTGTTTCAGAGTCAGAGTCCCCCTGGGAAGGGACCACCTTCTGCTTACATACAGGGCATGTTTTTTTTGTTTTTGTCAGCCACGGGTCCACACACTTGCAGTGATAGGCTGTTAGAAAACAAAACACAGGCACATCGTTACCTAAGTGAAAAGGACAAGGAGACCTGCTAAATTGTAGGTATGTTCAGTCACACAGGAGAATTTTAGAATTTAACTCCTACAAAGAATTTCAGTCATGAGTTTGTTGCCACGGGGACTGTCTATCCTTACGGACAACACATCCAAAAGATCAGCATCTTGGCTGTCAGGATACATGCAGTAAATTCCTACTTCCTCTACTGAATGAGTCCGAGAGCAGTCCTGCAACGGGCCACATCTGGCAAAATGAACTTGAAAAGCTTCTTGAGGAATGACACCTGCCTTGCAGCAGACATGCCCACCATCGTTGTCCTCATAACACCTCTAACCTCCACCACGGTGTATCGAAGCACCTTGGCATTAAATGAAATCACCACACGATTTTGTGGATTTTAAGTTAGTCTACAGTTGGCAACTACACTGGCCTTGCTTAAAAATGTGTTTGAAAGTGTCTTTCTTACGGTATTAAAACTCAGCTCTGCTTGTTAGCAGACACTTCTATCTGGCAAAGAGCTCAGTATTTACAAGGGCGAGCACGTTGCATGTAGCTCCTGCTCAAGCACATTAGTAGCCTGTTCTCCACAAGAAGCGACAGTGACGGTTTTGGTCTGGGGTTTTTGTCGGCAGTCCTTGGCACTGTGGTCAGGGTTAGTGAACCTTGCAGTCCCTAGCTGGGGCAGATGTTACGAGTCAGTTCTTTCTCTTCTGGGAACCCCCTGTCAGCCTGTTCTGAAATTGTTTTTTTACGACTGAGGACCTACAAAGCTCCGTCTGCCATGTTTGCGAGGCTGTAACATCAGTCACCTCTTCTTTTAAATCTGGCATTTGCTGTGGCAGTGCCTGGTCAGAGCAGGAACTTCATGAGAAACAGTGGGGTCAAGCTGCACCCAGCCAAAACAGCTGTAACACAGTCAAAGGACTGGCAGGTAGAGAGAAGGTCTCAAGCCAGGAAGGACAAATCCTATCTTTCCTGACAGATTTTATACAGTTTTTATCAAAAAAAGTTTCACTCGAGAGACGCTCTTGGGCCCAGGCCTCTTCCAGATTCTCGACGTGAGCTTG